AAAGTTATAGGCAAAACACTGGACAGAGGTCGAAACTGGAAAAACAGAGAAACGAATCTGCCCAAAAACGACCGGTCATTACTGTTCAGGCGACCGGTCGCACATGAATCTGTCCAAAAACGACCGGTCATCACTGTTCATGACCGGTCGCACTGTTCATTTTCACTGTTCATGGCGCTGTTCACAGCTGATAAATAGGTGATAAAAGGGTGATAGAAAGTGTTGTTTCTGTTTTTCTTTGGTTTCTTGTTTTGTTTCTTTTCTTTTACCTTCCTTTATTCATTTTTAGTTTCCAATTTGTACTGTGTTTGTGTGTTGTGTAAAATTAGTGTTCTTTACGTACTCAAATTAGAACTTATAGGAAGCTGACAAGTTCTTCATGGGATCGACCCCGTACTTACATAATCTATACCTCAATAGATTCGTGCACTTACGGGTATTTTTAATTGGTTGTTTGCACATTAATTTGTGTCCTTTTACGAGTACAACAGCTTGGAGTTGAGCGGGTACAACTAACTTGTTAGCCCAACATCTGAGCCCATTGGAGTAGAGACACTCACCTAATCCCAGAGGACATAGCCTGGTTTTTGTACTCGTTACTTATCTTTCTTCTATAAATACTATTGCTCTTTTCTATTTAAAAAAAAATTACCTAGAAAATCCAATAATTATATTATTTAGAGGGGAGTGGTTAATCTCATACTCATTCATTCTCTTCTTTATTTTTAACTTTTCCGATTCATAGTTTCTCTCATTCCAAGTAAGTTTACATGCCATATACAAAAACTAAACTTATAGAGTTCATAAAAAAAATTATAAAAAAAAAAAAAGTTTTTAAAAGAAACAAGATCGACGAAGCAAACTTGGCGCTTAGCCCCAACCTACTGAACTTGCCAGACCAATGCAGCCAACCTAAATTTAGTTGGGATTAGGGTTTAGTCTCCATTAGGGGTGGGCATGATTTGGGTTAGTTCGATGGTGGGCCCAATCGACCACCGAACCGTCCAAATTAATTGCGCAAAATTCCATATTGAAACCAAACCAACTAGGGTTCTAACTCACAAGGTCGATTCACCAACTGTGATGGGTTGAATTGGGTTGGATTGGTTCGTTTCAATGACATCCAACCAGGAGAAGAGAAGTGGTGAGACAAAGCTCTAATGACGAGCAGAGATTTAAATTGATCGACTAATTCACTGACGATGATGAAAGATTGAAAGAGAGAAATGAAGGTGAGAGAGAGAGAGAGAGAGAGAGAGGGATATGAGGCAAGTGAGCAAAAGTGCAAGAAATGAGGAAAAAACGGAGATAAGAGCCCCATGGAGAGAGAGGTGAAGACTAAGTCACTGACGAGGACGCGAGATTGACAGATTGATGATGTTTGTGCCTAATAAATCTCGGTCGTAAACTGATCGAAAGAACTTCCTCTCGGCCCTCGCACTAGCCCATAAAACTAAAACATGGCTGTTCGTTAGGCATTTGCCTTCCTAAAATCAAAAGAAAAGCTGCGAAGGCGGAATCTTCTCGGCCTCGCGACCACGATATTATAGGCCGAGGCCGAAGGGCGTAAGAAAGACGGCCGAAGATATTAAGGTTAAATCGCCAAGTGGCAACAGGGTCCCACACTTCATTTAATGAAGTAACGCCTCTATTGTAGCAAACCCACTAGCCGCAAAAAAACATTTAATGCACGAGAGAAGATGGGAAGTGACTAAAGTCAGGGTTTGGTGATGGAAATCAGAGTGGTTAGGCGCAAACATTATCACAAATATTCTTACAACTTGAGAGGTCAGGTCACCAACCACCAGACCAGGGCATTAAATGCGTTCCCATGGCCAAAGGCGCAGAACCCATGATCAGGGCGGTGGCCGAGATTTACCGGGATTTATGGGGGTCACACCACCATGCTTCATGATCCCAAATGCCGATTGGACTACCCACTTGCTCTGATCGGGCTCCACCACGCAGATCTTTCAGCCTCAATTGTCCCTCCAGGACCTCTCCTATAAAAACCAAGTTCAAGCTACTTTTAAAGGGTTCAAACACCAAACCAAAAGCCTCCCACGGAGCAAATTATATTTTCCTGTCTTTCATTTCTTGTAATGCACTTTCAATACTTTTACTTGCTTTCCTAGGAGTAGTGATAGATTGTAAGGAAAATCCATTCATCAATATATCAGAAGACCCTTGATTGTCAAGGCGCCGGAGCATCATCTCTGTTACTATCTTATCCACCCCATATATCATACGATCGTCGCTCTCTGAGCAACGCGCCGGAGCACCGCCTAAAACCCACCATCAACACCACCACTAAACGGCCTTGTAGCTCAGGCCGTGAACCTGACGGCCGAGATCAGTTCCTCTCTCAGCCACAATCGTTTGGTTAGAAGTCGAACTCAAACAGGCGCACCACTTAACCATTTACCCAAACACACCACTCTCTCGACGCACGGTAAACCGTGCTGGCACGCCAGCGCACAACCGCACCGCATTCAAAAGAAGGATGTCATGTGTTGACACATATCCCCTCGGCCCAGAGCACCAGGCTGTGAGATTTGCGACAGCCAACAGATGATCAAGACGAGAGAGAGAGAGAGAGAGAGAGAGAGAGAGATGAGGTAGAAGTTCGGGAGAGAGATGAACTCGAGAGGCTATGAGTGGTTTGGTTTGGTTGCAATTGAATCTTTAAAGGGAGATTCACTATTATACCCAATATAGGGGCCCAAATTATAAAAATACCATAAATGAAATGGACTTTAGAAACATACCCAAAGCCCATTTACAACATAACAAAAAGACTTTTAACTTTTTTTAAATTACAAAACTGCCATTGATTTCTCAAAACAAACCCAACCACAAAACATATAAAAAAGCCCAAAACACTCAATAAGGCATCAAAGTAATTTAATAATTAAAATTAAATTCAATAGGGCTAATTGTCATTTTTTGGGTTTTTTTTTGGTTTGTTTATAGAAGTTAAATAGTGTAGAGTTTATTTATAGTTTTAGTGCTAAAAATGGGTATTTGATTAAATATCTCACCTTTAAAATTAAACCAGCGCCAAACCAAACTAAACCGGTTTGATTTGGGTTTTTAATAAAATAATATAAAAAATCTAAAGACCAAAATCGTTCGGTTCGGCCAGGTTTTCAGTGCATTTACCCAGCCCTACTTTCTCAAACTGGATCACCCCGACCTGCGCCGGCTCCATGGTTGATTCACATGGAAAAAAAAAACCTCCACCGTGTGTGTTTCTACGTGAACTGTTAGATATCAATCCTTAGATATTTCTTCATGTATTTTTCTTGAGAAGCATTAACAATTCTGCATCCATACTTCACATCCTTTTGAATACTCATTCCGCAACGGCTATAATTATACTTTCAAGTATGCGAACCCATCGGCTACTCGTTCAAAATCCAACTCCGAGAAACTTCACAACCTTCAAAAGGAAAAAACTAACACAACACTCACTCTTTCACTCTCATAGACCTCATTCTTTAGCTTATTGTCCATCAAATGACAGGGAAATTGGTCTTCAACGTATGCAATTCCGAGAAGTCTGCAGTTCTACTACAAGCCAAGAACCGTTTTCATCAGCTTCTCTGTCAGATTCTCTTTTGGTGGAGAAGATTTTACTGGGTCTGAAGCAAGGTAATCTCAATTCTTTGCGCAGTTATCTGTTTCGATTAAACCCATTGCTTGTTGTTGAGGTTCTTAATCGCTGCCGCGAAAATTTGCAACTGGGTCTGAAATTTATTGATTTAATTGTGTTAAATAGTCCGAATTTTAAGCATTCGTCGCAGTCTTTGAGTGCAATGATTCACATGTTGGTGCGGGGTCGAAGGGTGTCGGATGCACAAGCTTTGATTCTTAGAATGGTTAGGAAGAGTGGTGTTTCGCGTGTTGAAGTAGTTGACTCTTTGGTTTCAACTTATAGCAATTGTGTCTCAAGTTCTTTGGTCTTTGATTTGTTGGTCAGAACTTATGTGCAGGCTAGGAAGTTGAGAGAAGGGTTCGAGGTGTTTCAGCTGTTTAGAAGCAAGGGATTTTGTGTTTCGATAAATGCTTGTAATAGTCTTCTTGGTGGGCTTGTGAAGGTTGGGTGGGTTGATTTGGCATGGCAGGTATATGGGGAAGTTGTTAGCAGTGGGATTCAGTTAAATGTTTATACACTAAATATTATGGTTAATGCCTTATGTAAAGATCGCAAAATTGATAGTGTTAAATCGTTCTTATCAGACATGGAAGAGAAAGGGGTTTTTTCAGATATTGTGACATATAATACACTAATCAACGCATATTGTCGGGAAGGGCTTTTAGAAGAAGCTTTTCAGTTAAAGAACTCTATGTCTTGTAAAGGGTTGAGACCTGAGGTTTTCACGTACAATGCTATCGTAAATGGTTTATGTAAAGTAGGAAATTATGCAAGAGCGAAGGAAATTTTGTATGAGATGTTGAACAATGGATTGAGTCCTGACACTACTACGTATAATACATTGCTTGTTGAGAGCTGTAGAAAAGATGATATTTCAGAGGCTGAGGGAATTTTCAACGAAATGTCATGTAGAGGTGTTATTCCTGATTTAGTTAGCTTCAGTTCACTTATTGGGGTTTTTTCGAGGAATGGACATATTGATCATGCTTTAGTATATTTCCAAGATATGAAAAAGGCAGGCTGGGTTCCAGATAATGTGATCTATACTATCCTTATACATGGATATTGCAGAAATGGAATGATGTTAGAAGCTTTGAAGTTGCGGGATGAAATGCTTGAGCAAGGTTGTGTTATGGATGTGGTCACGTTCAATACTATTTTAAATGGGCTGTGTCGGGAGAAGATGCTTTCTGATGCAGATGAGCTCTTCAATGAGATGGTGGAAAGGGGTGTCTTTCCTGATTTTTATACTTTCACAACACTCATTCATGGATATTCTAAGCACGGGAATATGACCAAATCCCTAAATCTGTTTGAGGCGATGACTAAAAGAAATATCAAGCCTGACATTGTCACATACAACACATTAATCGATGGCTTCTGCAAAGTAGGTGAAATGGATAAAGCTAAGGAGTTATGGGCTGACATGGTTTCTAGAAGGATATTACCCAATTACATTTCATATGGCATTCTAATCAATGGATTTTGTAGCACGGGACATGTGCATGAGGTGTTTAGGTTGTGGGACCAGATGATTGAAGAAGGTATCAAACCTACACTAGTTACTTGTAACACTGTCATTAAAGGCTATTGCCGCTCTGGCAACACAACAAAGGCAGATGAGTTCTTAGGCAAAATGGTTTCAAAAGGAATTGTTCCTGATAGTATTACTTACAACACTCTGATTAATGGATATGTAAAAGAAGAGAATCTGGACAAAGCTTTTTTTGTCATTAAGGAGATGGAAAACCAAGGAATATTGCCAGATCTGTTTACGTACAATATAATTCTAAATGGGTTCAGTAGACAAGGTAGAATGCACGAAGCTGAGCTAGTATTGCGGAAGATGATTGAGAGAGGTGTAAAACCTGATAGAGACACTTATACGTCATTGATAAATGGACATGTGACCCAGGACAATTTGAGGGAGGCATTTCGGTTCCATGATGAAATGCTGCAAAGGGGATTTGTGCCAGATGATGAATTCTAGTTTGTGTTTTTGCTCTTGCAACTGAAGGTGGGATGTTCTCTCCTACTCTCCTAATCTCCTTACACTCTTTATTTTAATCAGCTACTAGAAAAACATTCTGATTATATATACTCTCCTGATCATTTGATTGAAGGCTTATAGACCATATGTTGGATAGGAAGGGCTTTGATAGGCATAGGAGGATGTGGAGCAAAGGGTGTTTGGGTCTAGTGAAATTTTCAGTATAAATGGTAAGCCAGAGCGAGTTTGGAGCTACCGGGGGGTTGAGGCAGGGAGACACATTGGCCCTGTTTCTTTTTATGCTTCTTGATGTCTTGAGTAGATTAACAAGATGTTCTGGTGAGTGTAACTTGATTGAGGTTTTACAGTAGGTAAGGAGCGTATTTAGGTGTCTCACTTAATAGGGCAGAAGTGATACTAATGTTTTCACTTCAGGGAAGAGGGAGAGATTCAGCAGGTTGGTCATTGAGTTATTTGGGGCTATGTGAAAATTAACGTGTCTCAGAGTGTGATGGTGCATATCAATGTAAAGGAAGGAAGATTAGTGCCCTTAGCCTGTATTACCATTTATACTGATAGATCTACTTAACCCAAACACCCTTTGCTCTACATCCTCTGACGCCTACCAAAGCCCCTCCCATCCAACACATGGTCTAAATAAATATGACCCTTGTCATGTCACTCATTTAATAAATGAGCTGTGTTTGTGTCTTCATTTTTAGTTGTTGTCTGACTTCACTTAAAAACACAAGCTGAAAAACACAAATTGCTATCCTCTAATATGTATGCATGTGCATATGTTATAAAGAACAAGTGTTCATTCGTTGAACTCACATTCTTTTAATATATTTCCTTTTAAATTTATTTTTGATGTCATTCAGAAATATGCAATGCAACATGCTTTTGAGACTTTGATGGGCCAAATGAATTCACGAAATAACCTGTTCAACAATGCTGCATTATCTCCTGGATCACCTTTTCCATTTTTATCAGCTCCAGCCTCAGGGTCTTCCACCTCACCCTTTCCAGCTGCTCCTCTACCTTCTGTGACAGTAGATGTATCTGCAAGCAGAGTAGATGCAAGCATCAGCTGCACCAGCCACAATAGCTACACCTGCCACTAATGTCAAAAATGAAAAAGAAGTAGAAAAAACGGAACAGTTTTGGTAATCAAGAATCACTCTTACCATAGTCTCTACTTTATATTGCATAAGAATTCTTCGTGGCTTAATATTTTTCTATGAACTTTGTGTGTATAGCTCAATAGCAATTTGTATGTGCCCTAGAAGTTTTTAGTCTGATAATGAATTTATGCACTTTTATGTCTATCATTTTTTTCCTTTACTTTTTTAATAAATAGTTTTACTTGGGCTTCTAATTCATGATATATATTTTTTCAATGTTAAAAAATATTGGTTAAATAATTAGAATGATTGAATTTTATCTGAAGGGGGAAATTTAAATTTTGAGTTCCCTGAACGGTCTTAAAACAGTGAATCCACTTCTAGAGTGACCATACATTCTTGAAAACTTTGTTCTAAATACATGTGGATACTCTAAAGTATCACTTTTTGCTGGCTGCAAGAACAGGATGAGCGAAATCTGGGTCTGAGCTCTCTAAATCTGTAATACCATATCATATGCTGAGGCTTTTTGAGACCCCCTGTGAGAAAGTAACGTAGTATTTTGTTTTGACCGTTACATGAATTCATTATTAAGAAATTGTGACCTCACTAGTCCATCTATAGAAAATATATACATAAAGTTAATTGAACCACAACAAGCAGACACCGAATGATGGGAAAAACCACTCAGTTTATACCAGATAGTCGCTAATGCTTCCAATTTATTAAATCATCCACGTCGAGATTGCTTAAGCCCATAGGTAGCTTTGTTAAGGGGACACTTTCTTTGAAGACCCCTCATGGACAACATATCCTGGAGGTTGTTCCATTTGCATTCCTCTTGTAGACCATTAAGAAAAGCATTCTTTATATCAAGCTAGCGAGGGGCCAATAAAGTAACCCAAATACCGTATAAAGTACTAGCTTTCCATTTTGTATGTTATATGAGAAAATCAAAATGGTGCATAAGGTTGGAATGCGCTTTGGAAGTACTTAATAAGTATAGTTTGAAAATTTTGATTCATTTCTTACTTTGGCTTTTTACGTGGTTTTAACTACCTTCTGTGGTTTACTGCTGATTAGTGCCTCTGCATTGTCTTTGGTTAAAAGGGACTAATTTGCTATACGTCAACAAGTTCTTTCAAAGGAAGTTTTCTGAATAAATATTCATTGTATTTCCCTTTTTTATGTCAACAAAGTATTTGCGAACTTAACCAAAAAACTGTTAGTGCTAGACTCTCAGGATTTAAATTCTCCACATTTTACTTTCAATGGAGAGGCACAACTGCCTGATGCTTTCTGATAAATCTGTTGCATTGAATGATTTGAAACTTATCAGAAGAAATTACTCTTTTTTAATGAATTTATGGGACATTATGGGACATTGTTTGTGTTTCATTTCAAGTTGTTTGATCATGATCAAACAGCTAGGGTCCATGAATAGACATCATTTGATTTCAAATGTAGAAAGCCTAACCTGATTTAGAGGTACATTTTTTTTCCCTTTGTTTTTTTTGGATGATTTAATGTCTAAAAAGTAGGGTTGGCAGTGGCACATATCAAGGCTTATTGTGTGAGGTGTCATGATGTTTGTTGGCTGATGATTTGACCTGTCTTATTGTGACACAACACGTAGTTCAGAGATTGAATATTAATGGCCATCAATATTTCAATAGATTTTTAACAGGCTGCTATAATTTGGATATTGAATTTGAAATGTTTGCTTTCACAAGTTTCTTGTTAGGGATTCTAAGTGCAATTTATACTCACAGCTTTTGTAGATATACTCCAGGGAAACTGAATGAAAGTGCCCTTTCTAAAGTAGCTTAAAAGATGTTTCCGAAATAGGTTCATCTAAGGGTGCCCAGAATGACGTGGAAGTAAGTATCTCATATTGATGTTTCTCCAGATTTTGTGCTTCTTTCCAGTTAACGTTCAGATTTAACTATTTGCAAACTCTATGAAGGTTTCTCAAAATGGAGCTGCTTTGCTTTTAAGCACAAGGTAGATGCTTCTATGGGGTTCCAATCTACTTGTAAGTAAAGAGTTAATTGACATGTAGCGGCCCCTCGTTATTGCAGTGCGTGCTTTTCTTTTAGATTTAATGTCAATTTTTTGGTAGCTAATTTTTATGACAGAGACTGTCTTTTTCTAAAGACTGTTGAAGTGCATATGTTTAATAACTTCAGACGCTCAGCTTGGGATAGTGGTTCTAGAGTTAGTTATGTAAAGTGACAGACTTTTTCTCTTTTGTCTTGTGAGTGTATTTGTTGTAGCATTGGTAATAAGAAATAAAATTCTATTTGTTGGAGCTGTTGCAAGCTTTTTATTGTTTCGGCTAATAATAAAAGGTATTTAACTCTCATAGTCCAAATCCCACACTCAAATTACTCACACAAATGAGCAATTTATTTGGAGCAAGATTTTGTTTTTGTTCTTTGCTCATTTTTGTGAGATTGATTTGGGTCTATGTGAGATTTGGGGTTGTGAGAGTTACACTCTTTTGTAATTTCGTTTGGATATAAGTGTTGTCTCCAACAGGTATGGGCTTAGCCAAATTGGTTGGCTACAGCAGATGTGCTTCCCACTCTGCACCTGAGTTCGAATCCTCCTCACCCTAGTTTAGATTAAATTAAGTAGAATATCGCTTGTATTAAAAACTGTCGTCTCCAAATTGGATTTAGGCTACAAAGCCAAAGCCAAACTTTGTGTTAGTGGGACTTGTGATGGTCGAATTTGACTGGTTTGACAAGTGGTTAAAATCAAATCCCTTTATTTAGAAATTTAATAATTCAAAGCTAATTCGCCCTTCTTTTGGAAATTAAATTATTCAAAACTAATCCCAAATGTTGACTTGTACTAATTATCTTTAGCCGACCAAATTGTCAAACTTGGATTTCTTGATTGTCGATCAAATTGTCATTGATTTTTATTTAAAAAGGAAAAATTTTATGTCTACACCTGGTCTACAAGTCAATGACTTTTTCCACTGAACTCGGCCCCGTTGCCATTCCATGTTAAACACAATGCTACCAAAAAACAGCCATTTTATTATCAGCTGGTATGATTAAGATATATACCACATATACCAACTTTTACCAGGTACATTGATCAGTTGACTTAAAGGACAGAGTCCTGTTATCTAGGTCATATCCTACCAAGAAGTTCATCTGTGCTACATTGCCATAGATTGCCACATCATTGGTTGGGGAAAATGAAAGACAGACAATATCTTCTCTAACCCTAAGAAAAACGTTCTCAGGTTTTAGCTTCACATCTGCACCATTGAAATGGAAGGTGACGATAGGGTCTTCGATTTCAGATTTAGTCTGGTAGCAAAGCCGAAGTATGCCAGTTGGATCTTTGGTCACCTCCAGATGAACTGCCTTTCTAATTGCTGATTCAAAACTTTGATAAAGTTTTGTAGGCAAAAATGTTGAGGTAGTCCCAGAGTCTATGATGATGTTGCCCTTAAAAGATTGTGAATTGTCAGCATCAAGTTTAAAATTGTCGGCACCGACGCCAATGCCTTGAAGCTCAAGGTAATAGTAGGTTTCTGAACCATTTGACAGCAAAGGGGTTGAGACCGCATCATGACCTGAAACGTTACGGCCGAAATATACCGTGCTTGAAATTTCACGCTGACCTTGTTTGGCTCCTAGGATTGGATCGGAATCGGATTGTTCATAAGTCGTCGGCACCAAGCAATAAGAGAAAGATTTCCCTCCAACCGCATGGCCGATTTGGGATACAAGTGACACAGCTCCACTTCCAAGTCCAACTATTCCAGACTCAATCCCACTGAAGATTCCTCCATTGTGGTGTCCACAACCAAATATCGTGTTCGGAATCGATACAGGCTTGCCTGTAGTACTGGAAGCCAACGTAACAGTGTCCAAGGACATATTTCCAGTGGTGTAGGACATGTCCCCATATGTATAATTATAATAGCAAAAGTTTGCATCTGAACAAGAGGCTTCATTTAGCAAATGGCATTCCTTGGACAAACAAGAAAGGGGCTTATAGGTTGAGGAAGAACTGGGATCAAAGAGAGGGGGGTTTTGCTTGAAACAGTCCACACATGGCTTGCATTGTGTCCATGTAAGATCGCCCCCGGTGTCAACAATGCCAATAAAAGTTTTGGGTGGTGTCCCGATTGATATGTTCACCAAATACTCTCCTCCAATATAAATTAAATGGGATTCAGCTACAGGACTCGGAGCGCGAAGTGCTGAATTTCTTCTGCTGAAATGGCTGATCATACGGTGTGTGAACGTTGCAAGGCATTGCTTACCCGTTGCCAATGAGTTTCGGATTGATTGTATAAGGGAGATGCCGGCGAATCGCGGTGGATCATTTCAAGGCTAAAGCCAATTCCATGGAGATGATCATCTTCTGTGAGCGAGAGAATTGGGAGGAAAATAATGGACAATGTAATGGAAAATGCAATGAGGAAAAGTGATGAATGATATGCTACCATAGCTACCGTGAGAAAGATGAAGACAACAACACATTGACATATACTAAAACGGTCTTGTTCTAAATAACCAGAGAGTCATAAATACAATACAAAAAGATATCAGTTAGAATTTGGTGATTAATTAAATGCACCTAAATGATGCTTTGACCAGCAAAATTGTTTAAAAGTGGATAATTTGATAGATTCAAAACCCATATCGAAGTCTTGGGTATAGTTCATGTGTTTTTTTTTTTGTTAACCTAGGTAGGGCTTTTTTTTTTTTTTTTTCGGATAAATACCACAAGGTGTCTCTACACCCAAAGGCTATTTTATAATGTAAGATTACCTTCCTTTCTTTTTTGGGTGTGTTTACTTGATATAGGTTTGACCATAATTTTTTATTTTATACATATGTTATTGGGGAAATGGAAGAAATGACAGGATGAATTAATGCTCTTAACAAATGTGCGTTACAAGCTCTTTGTTGGTTTGACTAGAATTTAAGCAAATGCTAATCCAATTTAATGCTTTTTGATAGTTGTGATTTGAATATATTGTTTGTCTCTTCTTTTGTCTATTCAATCTAAATTTTGAACTGCAAGTAGCTTGCAACTCAAGTGATTATACCTGCACCCGAGGTCTTGTGTTCCAATCTTTTTTCTATCAACATCATATATATATATATATATATGCACACGTGTGTATACATTAAGCAATGAACCTACCTAAACTATACATTTAGCAACCTGTTCAAAACTTAATCGTAAAGCTCACATTATATCGTACTATATATACCAAAAGTAATTAATTCTTACCTTAGAAAGCATTCATATAATATATAAATAAATAAAAAAGACTTAGTCCTAAAGCTCACATTACCATACTATATACAAAAAGTAATTAATTCTTAACTTAATTAGGAAGCATTCATATAATATATAAATGAAAAAATAGCTATATGCAAAGAGCTTGTAGTTCGAGTGGTTAAAAGTATTTATCCGTGCACATTGAGGTCCAAGGTTTGATTTTCCCTCCCTCAATCAATACCATAAAAGAAAAAATTTACCATTTGTAACTCAAGTAGTTTAGAGTATTTACCCTTACACCCGAGATCTTAGGTTCCCCTCTCTCCCAATACCAACCAATACCAAAAAAGAAAACATTTATCATTTGTAGCTCAAGTGATTAAGAGCATTTAACCATAAATCTGAATTCCTAAGTTCGATTCCCCCACCCCCAATACAAAACAAGAAAATATTTACGGTTTTGTTGCCAAATTTACCATTTTCTTTTGAGTAAACACATTTGGCTTGGCTATGCAACTCATGTCTCATCTTTTTTTGTGAGCTATTACAAGTCATTTATTGGTGACTTTTTCTAATAATGTCAAATTTTGAATATTGTAGTTTATATGATTTTAACAATAAATCAAAACTTCTTTTTTTTTTTTTTTTTTTGTAAATAACTCATACACCGTGGACTTTTTGTTTAGGACCATTCTTATTAAAAGGGGTGATACGATAATATTCTAAACTCACACACACTACATCGGATGCTAGGACTCGAACCATGACCTTTCTTGGGCATGGGCGGAACCAAGGCAAGGGCTGCCCTTAGCTGCAGCCCAGGGACAGTTTGGGAAAAAACAAATTAAATATACATATAGTCTAATATTTTAACTATAAATAAATAAAATATATATATAATTTCAACACCAATATGCATAGTAAGAGGTCTTCCACATTTGTATTTGGTGTTAAAGTTTGTATCAACAACAATTTAAAAAAATTTCTATTAATTTGTCTCCAAAAGTGAAGCATTTTTCTAAATGAAATTCACGCTTTCGTGAATAATATGGCTCTATTTTTTTTTTCTTGTGTTTACAATTAGCATTATTTATATGATTTAATGTATACTTTTATTTCTAGAAAAACTATATAAAATGTAAGTACCGAAAAAAAAATTATCATTAGATTTTAAGCTAAAAACTTTAGCTAAACCACCCATTGAAAAATTTCTAGTTCCACCCTTGCCTTCATGCAAAAAAAAAAAAATTATCATTAGATTTTAAGCTAATAACTTTAGCTAGCCCACCCATTAAAAAATTTCTGGTTCCGCCCTTGTTCCTAGGGGAGCAATTACTTCAAACCACTACAGCACTAGTGGGTCCGTTGCTACACCGTGGACTATTTTATTCCAAAGACAATATATATCCATCACCAAATATTAAAAATATGCAACAGGTCTTTTTCTAACTTGATAAAAATAGCAAAGGTCTGAATTTAGCATCAATACATATATGCATATTTAAACAAATACTAACTATTAAATTAATATAATGAATTCTCATAAGCCACATCAGCATAATTGTATTAACTCAGAACTCACCATTTCCACCTTAGCCAATACTTATGAAATAACAAATAAAAAATTAATATTTCCCAAATAGCAATACCTCCTTCCCGACCTAGACCCCTCACTGTACCACTGCTGCTCACTATCTCCACCAAGGGTGGATCTACTTGGAGGGTATAGGTTGGGCTATTGCCCGGCCCAAACTTTTCTGAGATAAAAACCTAAATATCTTTAGTAAGCCCTGCCCAAAAGTAAATAAAAATATAAAAGAAACCCTGCATGTCTTTAGCCCAGCCGACTTTCACATCTCTCATCTTCTTATCTCTAGCTTCTTCAGTTCTAATTTCTCTCCCCTTCTCTTAGCTTCTCCTCTTGGATTTCTCCTAAATACATGTATGTATCTTTAAATTTAGTTGTAATTTGAAACTGAAATTCTAGGGTTTAAATTTTAGATTTAAATAGTGTTATTTTTGTATTGCATTGCATTTATTTGTAGTTTTTATTTTTATTATTACTTATTTTTTTAAAGTAGCTTTACTTATGTAAAGAGATGCATTTGAGAATGGTTTTTGTTTTAGGTTTTTGTTTTTTTTTGTTAAGCTTTTACTTATGTATAGAGATGCATTTGAGAGTGGCTTTTGTTTTAGTTATTTAGTTATTTTTGTTAAGCTTTAATTATGTATAGCATTTGAGGGGTAAGACTATTTATCTCTCCCCTGACCAGGTGTATATTTTTGGTTTATTAATTAAATTCACTTGTACCATCAAATTTAATATGTAAGTTTTGCACAACTGACTTTCAAATCATAGATCCACTCCATTGCCAGCCATGGCCACCCCCCTCACTCTCTCTTCCTCTCGCACATAGACCTTCCTCACCATTTGGTTCGAATGAATTGTATATTGATTTAGTAGATTATCTAACAATAATTATCTAAAGGGATACATGATTATCTCATAGAGATCGGAACTGGATTATCAATCATCCAAAATAGACGAAGTAATTAACGTGTTGTCTGAGCTCCCTCTTCCACGCGTATTTTTTACAGTCCCACTTTGCAAGTCTCATCTCTTCTTCCCTACAATTACTTCATCATTTTTCTTCAAGCTATCCTCCTTGCGACTTCAAAAGAAAACTGAAGCTCTGCTCCTTTAATTATCCGGATCATCATTTCATGTTGAGAATGACTTGCTTTTAGTTGGTAAGATCTCAATCTTCGGAATTGTCATCATCAAGCAACTGAAATCTCTTCTTAAGCGTTTGATTTGTTAAAATATGAATATGGTTTGAATACTTTGGGTTAGGTTTTATTCTTCTCCATAAGGAGGTATATATAGGAGTTTACATGAGTGCTTTACAAGGAAATAGATATAGTAATCAATTAGGATAGTATCTCCTAATTATACAATAATTTGTCAACTATATAGAATATGAAAGTAAATCCCTTAATTAATCAAGGAAATAAAATCTTTGATTAATTAGGAGACTCACATCAACACTCCTCCTCAAGTTGGTGTTATATGTCACCAATGCCCAACTTGGTAAGTGAGTCATGAAACACTCTGCCACAAATAGCTTTTGTTAAGATATCTGCCAGTTGATCTTCTGATTTTACGAATGGTAGGCATATAATCTTCTTCTCAATTTTTTCTTTGATAAAATGTCTATCCACCTCAACATGTTTGGTTCGATCATGTTGAACTGGATTATGGGCAATATCGATAGCTGACTTGTTGTCACAATGCAACTCCATTGGCTTTTCTGGCTTGAAGCCCAATTCTGTCAAGAGTCTTCTGATCCATAATAATTCACAAACTTTGTGAGCCATTCCTTGATACTCTGCTTCTACACTAGATTGATAAACCACATTTTTCTTTTTACTCCGCCAAGTGACTAGGTTACCTCCCACCAATGTAAAGTAACAAGAAGTAGAGCGTTTATCTATAATGGAACCAGCCCAATCAGTATCTGTATATCCAACAACTTCAAGATCTCCATTTTTTGAAAACATTAATCCTTTCCCAGGGGCTGACTTTAAATATCTTAAGATCCTTGATACTCTGCTTCTACACTAGACTGATAAACCACATTTTTCTTTTTACTCCGCCAAG